AAAAAGTGGTTAAAGCATGGGCAAAGTAACATCAACACATATCGAAATATGCCAAACATCAACAGACCTATTAAAATTTTCAGAATCAGATTTCAACTCCGATACCAAAAAGTCAACCCCCGGTCAAACTTCTCAAAATTTTAACTTTCGGCATTTCAAGCCTAATTCCTCTACGGACCTCCAAAAAAAATTTCAGACATGCTCCTAAGCCCAAAATCACCATACGGAGATATTGAAATCATAAAATTTCAGATCCGAGGTCGTTTATACCTAAGTCCACATCCGGACAACTTTTCTATCTTAAAATTTTTAATTATGAGACTAAGTGTCTCATTTCACTCCGAATTCCTTCTGGACTCGAACCAACTAACCCGGTAAGTCATAATTTAATTGTAAGGCATAAATTGAGCAGTAAATAGGGAAACGGGGTTATAATACTCAAAACGACCGATCGGACCGTTATACTATAGGAAGTTAATAGCCACTAAACAATAGTGATTTCTGAAAATTTCTCAAAAAGATCTTCCGGGCATAAATATCAACTACTAGTAAACTTTCCTCGGTTAAAGTTTTTATTACATGTGGTTAATAGGAAGATTTTTTTTTGTATATTACTACTAATTGTTGTCATAATAAAAAGAATGCTCTTTTTCATAAGATGTCGGGGAATTAAGGCACACCGTTCATCTACTTTTCATTTAATTGATCTTAGTACTCTAGCAAAAAGGTGAAAAAAAATAAAGAGAAAAGCTTGCGACCTTTTGAAAAGTCACAAATATAAAATTGTGTCTCCATCAATATTAATTACTCCATATGTTTCAAAAAGATTGACGTAGTTCAAAATATGATGGTCAAAATACTTAACTTTAACTGTAAAATTGGACATAAATTCTTCAAATTTTGGAAAATAAAATTTATATTTTCGGAAACTACATAAAAAGCATTATAAGTCATAATAATTCACAATTCAAAATATTTATATAATATATAAGAAAAATGTGATCAAAGAGCAACCTTTTTGAAATAGAGGGAGTATATATTAGTATCATTAGTATTCAAGTGCATCTTAGACTAAAAGTTATTAATAACAAAATTTCGAGGAAAATTTGATCAGAGGGAGGCATGCTGTGTTTAAGTGGATTCAGATTGAAAGCGACTAATAATAGATGCGTAAGAGAGGCGAGGCTCCGACAAACTCATACACATTGCGGAATGCGGAATATGTAGTGATGATACATCCAACTGATATAATGCCTGTCTTGTACCATGAGTGATTATCGGGCGGATTGGGCGGATTATTACGTTTAACGGTTCTGACTTATCGGTTATCGGATTATAAATGTAGTAATCCGCAAGCCATCCAATAAGACAATGGGTGGATTGGTATCGGATTAACGATTATCAGGCGATTATCGGGTTGTTTATCTGCTAAATCAAATAGAAAATTTTTGAACCTTAGTTCTTTTGGTTGCAAAGCTAAGAATATTTTCCCGTAAGTTGTCAAATTTAATTACTACCGCTATATTAAAAAGCACTAAATGAAGTACCTTTTATCCCTTACTCTTGAGGACACGATCAAGGAATATGTATGCCAACAACAGAAGAAGAAAGAAAGAAAGAGAGAGAGAGAGATGCACGTAACTTCTTAACACACATCATTTCGAGTACATGCTTTTTAATATACTGTAAATATAGCATGTTTTGATAGCAAAAGAAAGGGGAAATAATAGTTAGGAATTCAAGAAAGAGTACCTTAGGGTTTCAAAATTACTTTATTATATACATGGGTAAAAGTATAAATATAAAATTTTTTAACGGGTTAACGGTTTATCCAATAAGGAAATTGAGTAATCCACCCCCAAACCGTTAAGCTGTTAATTATAAAATCTCAATCTGTTCACCAACCGTTATCCTGATAACCCGATACCAATAAGTTAATAAGTCATTTTTTCGGTTCGGTTAACGGTTACGGTTCGGTTTTGAACAACTCTACTTGTACATGCGAAGTTCTGGCTAGAATTCAAATAGGCGAGAATATGAAGAGGGCCAGAGAAGATGCGTGGCAAAATACTGTTTTGCCAAGCTGGAGAAATAAGCTTATTTTGAGAAGTGTTTTTTTCAAAATTGCTTTTGAAAAAAGTACTATTAAAAAGAAGCAGTTTGTGTTTGGCTAATAACTCTGAAAAGTACTTTTGAGCAATAATTAGTATTTGGCCAAGCTTTTCAGAAAGTACTTTTAAGTATTAAATTACGAATAAGGACATAAATATATTTACTTAATAGTTAATATTATAAGTAAATAAATAATCTTAAAAATTTGTTATTACAGGCAATAATTAAATTTTTTTATTTTATTTGAGCAAAATATGAAAATAAAATTTAAAAGTACTTAATTATTTTAATATAAGTTAAATATAATAAAAATCATTCAACAAATATAAAATCATTCACCCTTAAAAGTTACTATATATTAGAAAGATATCCTAAAAATAATAAAAAAATATTTATACATTAATATCCTAAGTATTAGGTTTAACGGTTATTTTGGTATATACTATATTTTGTTAAGGGTATTTTTGGTAGGAAGAAAAGTCAACACTGCTTCTGCTTTTGGGAAGAAGCTATTTTTTTCGGCTTCTCAGAAACTGCTTTTTTTTCTCAAAAAAAACTTGGGCAAACACCTCAAGTTAGGAAAAAAGGTGCTTTTGAGGAAAAAAAACACTTTTAGCTTTTTGAGAAGCTTGGCCAAACAGGCTTAATGACCTTGAAAATTGATGGTCTTACTCTTAATATTTTAATTCTCGCTTGTCCCATGGGCAAACTTTTAAGGTCATAAGTCAAAAGTATTGCTGATGTGGCAAATGAGGGGCAACACTTGTTAAAGTTGAAGTTCGCCCGTTAAAAAATAAAGATTACCTACTTCGAAGGCCATTCTTGCAAATCACCAGGCAAGATAAGATCAGAGGCCCAGTCAAGAAATACTGGCGTGAAACTACGCTATTCTTGCAAATCCCTCACTCATTTAAATGTAAAACTTAGGCCCAAGGCCAACTTAATTTCTAGTGTATTGGAAGGAAAACAAGCAAATGAGCGCCAATTCTCTGCTTTCTGCCTTAAATCTCGCCAAACCCTCGTTTGAGCAAATCTGCTCCTCTTATAGCGAACTCCTCAAGTTCCCTCTCGGACAGAATCAAAATCGGTATGTTCTACTTTTCCCTTGCGTTTAGATATTTTCCTCTCTGTCTGGTTTCCATTCGTAGAATTTCATGTTTAAGCAATAGTACAATTGCGAACATAAGGCTTCTGGTGTAATTTTTTTCGTCTTTTATTTTCAAATTTCTCAATTCATGGTCTAACAGAGTTTGAAAGTGATTCTCTCTGTAAATAACGTTCAATTTTTATTTATTTTTTTTGTTATTGGTATGATAGAATTTTCAGTTTTATTAGGTCGGCAATCTGATTTGATGTATGAGCTTTCTGAATAAACTTTATGCAGTAATATATGTATTATGTGTATTATTTATGTTATAGTGGTATATGAATTGTGTATTAGCAATCTATTTATATAAAAGCACCTAAACATGAACAAAATTCTCTTATAGCTAATTCTTTAGCTTGGTATTGCAATTAAATTTTTGACTCAGTTCTTTGCTCCATGTATGTGTAAAAATTTGGCGCAGATTTATTAGTAAAATATGCTAGTTTGTCATCTGGAAAGCATTATATGATGTAGTCAAGATTTATTTTCTTTGTTAATCCGGGCCATTAATCATTTGATCCAACTTGTCTGAAAAACATTTATGGATAGGTTCATGTATGTGCTTAATTAAAAGAAATGAGTAGTGGTATTGTTATAACTATATTTAGGAAAGGAAATAATTTCTATTGGTTGCTACCCTGGTTTTGCTTCTCAAAGTTGCAACATGTTATTCCAGTATGGTTTGAATGTTCCTTGCTTTATAATTATTGCTTCTATTGTCTCCAGATTCCTCTATTGATTCCCAAGAATGATGGAATCAAAAATCACGGAAGTGTCAGGGCGAAAATCTTCTGATATAATTAGCAACCTTCCAGGCGATGTGATTAATGCCATTTTAATGTGTTTGCCCCTGCGAGATGCTGTTAGGACTAGTATCTTGTCCAGGAAATGGCGGTATAACTTGGTCAAACTTCCAAAACTAACACTTGATCACACACTGTGGAAAGAAACCAAGCAAAACATATCAACTCCTAGAGTTAAATTTGCAGTGATTCTCTATCAGCTCTTGTCACTTGACCAATTACTAAGTGTATAATCTCCATTCCTGATCTGAAAGACTGCCCTGAGATTGACAACTTGATGTTTTTCCTGTCAAAGAATGGGGTCGAGTCTCTCGTTCTTGAACTTCCGGAGGGTGAAAAATACAAATTGCCCTCTGCAGTTTTCAGGTGTTCAAAGATGAGGTATTTGGTTCTTCACCATTGTCTAATCAATCCATCACCTTCCTTTGAAGAATTTAGTAGGCTAATTTGCCTGAAATTGTTTAACGTCACTATTTCTGCCAAATCGCTCGAGAATTTAATCTCTTGTTGCCCACTTCTCGAGTGTCTGGAGCTGGAAATCTCAGACCCCTTGAACTTTATCGAAGTCAATGCTCCTCAATTAAGATACTTTTACTTTGGAAGCAAAATAAATTCTTTATGTTTCAAGAATACCACTCTTCTTGCTGATGTTGCAATAGCGACTGGACATCCTTTAGATCATGTATCTTCTGTGGAGAGAGGAAAATGTGATTTTGGCGAGTTTTTTGGTTCCTTGTCTGCTGTTAAGGATCTCCGCTTGGATATATGTATTATCAAGGTAAAAGTGAATGGAACTAATAATATTTATCATGTTCTTTCACACACCATGTTTCTGCTGCCCTGATTTTAGTATTTTCCTTGGAAGGCCATGATAGCAGGACTAGATGAAATCCCAGTAAGGCTTCCCATGCCTCTTCTCTGTCTTCGACAGCTTTACCTGTTTGATATTTGTCTAAGTGGATTTGATGAAGTTTGCTGTCTTCTTTGCTTGATTAGAAGCTCCCCATATTTAGAAGAAATTGAAATTGAGGTTTGAAACAACTACCTTGACTTAATTCCTCCTTTTCCTTTGTTTTCCTCTCGCTGTATGTTCTAGTTTATTATGTTCTTTTCCTCATTTTGTGATCTTTCTTCAGGCATTTAATGACAAAGGAGATGAACTTCCTGCTCAGGAATTTTTGGAAGCTGAATACTATTCTGACATAAAGTTGAATCACCTTACCAAAGTTAAACTGAAAGCAATTAGTGGCACAAAGCCTGAGATTGAATTGATCAAGCTTCTGTTGGCCAAGTCTCCGGTGTTGGAGACAATGATTATTGAGACTTGCACATTATCTAAGGAAACATTGATCGATATAATGAAACAGGTTACGAAATTCGGAAGGTCGTCATCACCTCGAGCAGAAGTCATCTTTTAAGTTGGAAATGTTAATCTGGTATGATCTCCGAGCTACCTCTATTTGAATTATTTGAGTGCTATTGGTTATGCAATATGCTACGGTAAAGAGATAGATACATTGGTTAAATTAGGTTGCAGGTGAGGCTTAAAGTCAGCACGCATGCGCTTGCTTAAGATTAAAACTTGGAAATCTTAAGCAGAACAATGTGTTAATGCACTGACTGTCTTTCTGGAGTATGGCTTAGTAGGTTTACTTTACTATTATGGAAAGTCAAATATAAATTTACTTATGAACAATGTGTTGATGCAGTGACTGTTGACCGTCTTTTTGGAGTTTGCCTCGGTAGGTTTAGTTTACTATTATGGGAAGTCAAATGTAAACAAACTTATAGACTCTAAAATGCCTTTTGGGTCAAATGCTTATGTAACCTTAAAGGCCCCGCCCTGTTTGCCATCCTCACTTATAGAGCCGGTTTGGATTAGCTGGAAAAAAATAGCTTTTAAGCACAACTGCTTAAAAGCAGCTTTTAAGTGCAGAAGCTTGTTTTATAAATAAGTAGTTACGTGTTTGGATAAAAGTGTTAGAAACTTAAAAAAAGTTGTTGAAGTGTTTGGTAAACAAGAAGCATTTTTTTCTGTTAAAAAGACAAAAATATTGCCTAAAACAAATCAAGAACCTACATCTTCCTCTGCTTATTATATAACATTCTGCCAAACATCGATTTCTACATAAGCGGACCATCACCAAACATAAATCTTGCAAAATGATTGTTACCATATTTTTTTTAAAAATGCAAAGCCTTATCCCAGGTTTGGGATAATCCGGATATTCCCATACCTCAAAGAAAAAGCATATAAAGAAGATTGATTTCCACCGAAAACTTGAGTGAAGATGAAGGAGAAGAAGAAGAAAGAAGATGAGCAGAGGCTTAAAAAATGAAGAAAGTGGGAGTAGTTCGATGTTTTAGGATTTATTTGATAAGGGTAGTTTTGGGATTAGTAAAAGTTATAAGGGACAAGTAAGTAATTTCATTGGTCAAAATAAGATTGCTTTTAAGCCAAAAACGGAGAAGTTAGGGTCAGCCAACTTGTGGCTTTCGGCTTTTTTAAGCCCTTTTTAACTTTTTTAAGCAGTTTTCTTATTTGCCAAACACTTCAAAAATCTAAAACAGGCTGATAGTGCACAACCATGCCGACTATATATGACTCGTGCAAAACTTAGTTGAACCCTGATGGGTAAATGCTTATGTAAAATTAACTTGTCAGTGAGTAGATGCTCCTTTAAATAGCTAAGATGGACAGAAGCAGAGGTCTCTTTGAGTAATTACTTAAGTAATATAGTTACACATGCCATAATCTAAGGATCCGTTTGGCCATAGATTTTGCCAAAATAAATTTGGGTTTTATTTGGCAAACATATGTTTGGCCATAGATTTTGCCAAAATAAATTTGGGTTTTATTTGGCAAACATATGTTTGGCCATAGATTTTGCTTACATTTTGGCCAAATCCCAAATTTCAATTCCCAAATCCCAAAACCAGCTCGCCAAAATATCAGTATTATATTTTTTAAAAATTATCCCAAACTTTTATATTTTATAAAAGAGCCCACCATTTATTATTTTGTAACGATGTTGCTTCGTCTTCTTGGTCATCTGATAGTGTATCATGTAGTTCATTATAAAAATGATAATTTTGTATCAAATTTATTTATGTTCAGGAATATAGTTTGCGATAATATAATGAATGTTATTGATAATGGTACTGTTGGGTATTTGTGATAGTTTTTAGAACTTGTGGGTATAAGTCATGTTTCATGTTTTTTCAAATAAAACTTCACCCAAAACAGATGTCCAAACACATTTCCATCTTCAAATCAAACTTCACCAAAATCATATTTTTCAAAATAAATTTGAGAATCTATAACCAAATGCTAGCTAACAATTCTTCATAATTTTCATCACATATCAAGTATCTCAAGCAAAATCATCTTGAAACAAGAGTTTTAGCAAGTTTAATGACAAGCAGTACACAAACAGCTAAGATAAGAGATGTAAGAGACCCAAGATGTCTAAGTGGCCCTTGCATATAAAGTAAAGATGATTCCTAGCTCGATAATAATGCATGGTTGATTCAGAATTGAAAGCGACTAATGAGAGATGTAAGAGAACCTAGGCTCCGACAAACTCATAGACCATTGCGGAACATGCAGTGATAAGTCTACTTCATTTAAAAAGTTTTTTTTTTTCCTTGAGTGAACAGAAGAAAATTTTATCAGATGTTCCAGGAACTAGACATATTATTAATTTGTATTATAGATAAGCACAGCATTTTCTTCCAACGTACTTAACGCTTTTAATTGAAGTTCATCTCTTAAACGCAGATCACCGCATCATGAATTGTTGAATTTAAGCTTGTATGATTTTTTTAACACTATTGTTGAAATGAGCTAATCAGTTGTAACATGCCACCTACTCTCTTTTTTTACATTACCATTTTACTATTCCTATGAATAGTCACCTTAAATTGGCTTTTAATAGGGTTAGTGTCAAAAATATTATGTCATCTGAGTACATAATTTTTTTTCCTGCGTAAACTATGGTTTTAATGGTGGTTCATCTGAGAGGTTACGATATCTTTAACTCTTTTAGCCCACAAGCTTCCAAAGTTCAGAATAGTGAACATGCCCCAGCTAGATGATCTTAGTATACTGTAATAGTTTGGAACAGTGTTCTTGCCTCTTGGGATTGACTTATCAAATCCGTAACTATTAGGTAAAAGTTACATATAATGCTTGCACATGCAAAGTTCTGGCTAGAAATAGGGGAACGTTCTGAATTATCAATATTGCCATTTCAAGCTCATTCATTTGATCCCTTTCCACAGTGGAGAAGATGTCTGTCAACTTTTTAGCGAATAACGAGGTTTTTCTTTATAATATTAGTAACATAAAGGCATGTCAACAGTATGCTCTAATTCTTCCGTGCTTAGAAAAAAGAAAATTCATACATGGTCCTGGGAAGGTATAACATTATACCCTTGATTGCACTTCAATGACAATTGTAACNATATATATATATTCGTTAATTATTTTAGTTTAAGCATAATACTTTCATCTAGTTCCTGAATTTCACATTTCACTTTAAATATAAATTAGCTACTTGTTGATTGCGAATCCGTCACTTTTATAACTAGACAAGATTTTAAAAATATCTACATATTCTTAGCATCATTTATTGAATAACAAATGAGGCAATAAAAATATTATATTAGTAGCAGTTTCCATCTTGTAGTCAATGAAATCCCAATAAATCTCCTAATTAAATTCCCCAAGGATAACCTTTTGCATATGATCTCCGTTTTTTCAACAAAAACCGAAAGAAAAAAAACTCTAGTCTTCAAAAAACTAGACATACCATCAAAGGAAGACACAAAATAATCTGCACCATTGAAGGCATTTCCTTGAACTTCCAATTAAGTGAATTAGTATATTATGGGTATATTGTAGGTTTGTGTTAGTTAATTTAGAAAATTATATACACGACACAATAATGGTATATCATAAATTAGTACTTGTTTAGTTATGTATGAATATATAATTATATTATATCATTATGAAGGGTACGTTGTAGATTTTTATTTTCTTATTAAGTGTGTAATAATTATATACACATTTTAATAATGGTATAACGTACATATGCATTTGTTTATTTATGTGCGCATATGTAATTATATACACGGTATAATAAAGATATTCATGGTATAATAAAAATATACCTGGTATAGTAAAGATTAAGAAATTAGGTTAAGAATTTCAAAAAATTGAGAATGGCAGTCGCAAGAAAAAATAAATTTATGGTGAATTCGAAGGGAATATTATATATATATTAAATAAATTATATACTCAAAGTCAGTATTTTGATCGAGTAACTATTATTTTAGTTAAAATTATCCAATACTCAATTATAAATAGTAAGAAAGAACTAAAATACAAACCAAACCTGCATGTGGTCATCTAGCCATCCCTATTGTCAAGCACTTCTCTATATTTATTAATAGAGCAACGGAAATGTATTAAAGAGGATGAAAGATAAATGGATATATATTTATAAGATTATAAACTAATTTTTAAATTAGTGGTCTATCATTAACCGTAACTACTATTAGAATATGCCATAAAAGTAAATGAATCTGTTAATCTATACTATATTAAAAGCACGAAAACCCTTAGCGAAATATCGTTTGCCTTTTTAATCCATTAAAAATAGAATTCACATTAGACAAAATAATTATTTACTTATTTCTCTAATATTTAGAATTAGGCATTTAAATATTTTCCTAATATTTAGGATTAGACGTATAATTATTTTTCTAATAATTAGTATTCTTTTAGGTTTAGACATTTTGAAGTCTTTTTTTCTCCGTTTGGCAGCACAATAAATACTTAACCAAAAATAAAATTCTACATAACTGTTGCCTTTGTGAACAATTTAGTACAAAAATAACTTCTATCAATTAGTATCAACTTGACAAAAATTACGGAATATTCTGCACCTCCTTATAATGTGATTGGGGATTGATAGATTTATTGTTGAGTCCATGTCAAAGTCTAACATATAAAACTATTACATATACTCTTATCGCAAGTTAGAGTTGGTTTCCTTCAACCAAATCATTAGTACTGATCATTTGGTTCTTGATCAGGTTCGTAAGTTCGGCCTTTTTTTTTTGTATCTTTAGTTTTCCTTTGCTATGAAGTAAAAATTGATTTTTTGTCTATATTAAACTCTTGTGTATTTTTCATATAGAATCTTTGTGTCTTCAAAATATTTGATACGTGAAAACGTATTGATTATAGAATAGATTTGTTGGTTGATTCTCTATTTGTTATGGTCTATTAATTCATTAACGTCTATATGTTCTCCAGATTCTTTAAAGCACTTGAGTGAATACAGTATGTGTATTTTTTTCTTTTTTGTTTTTTATTCTGTGTGTTTTTTTCCTTTATTTTTTTATTTGTATTGATCATGGAATTTTCGAATTCTAAATGCCATGTTTATTTTAAGCATGTTTTAACTTGATAAAAGGTCATGTCAAAACGCACGTTCAATTATTAAATTTCCTTCCTAAATTTTCTATACATACTAAATTGATAAAATGATATTGATAGATTATATATATAACAATGCTTTACATATAGTAAAAAATCAATAATTACAATTATATTTAATCATAACTATTTATTGAAGTAAGATAAACAAAACGAAATTGAAATTATAAAGATGAGAGATTTTTCATTACCTAATGAATCAAATTACAAAGATAAGAGATATTTCATTACCTAATGAATTTTAAGATTACAAAGATAAAAGAGAAAAATATTTTTTTGTGTGTAAATTTGTAATGATTAATAGGATACGTCTCAAGCACTACTTTCTATCTATTTAGTATAAAATAAAATTTAAATATGGAACAATTTTTTAGTTGAATGTATTGATTAATGATTGAGAACTTCTCTTGTGGCCGTGATGTATATAGCATCATTATTTATTATTTTTAGGAACATGTAGTATTATTTTATAACTCAAGCACAATAGTTATTAATATGTTTTTAAAAAAGTCTTTTACCACTTAGATAGTATACACGCGCAACACGCATATCATAAGACTAGTTTTGAAAAAAAATCAAAAGTTATGCTATTTATTTATATAGTTTTATATATTTGCTCTACAGTGTTAAAATCTCATGAATTAACAAACGACATCAGAGTCCATACTTGTAATGTCACAATAGTCAATAGCTAAATGGTCAAGAGCAATGCTAATCAGCCATAAACGTTGTGTTTGGGGCTGGAATTCAAAAAAAAAAGAGTTAAAATGATAGTTCTACTGCTTATGTGGAGTTTTGAACACAAGGTACCATTAACCTGTAAGTAATGAGCTTAATCCTTGAAGATACGATAATAACAATCTTAAAAACAAAAACAAAAAAATCTTCATGTAAGCTTTAGTCGATCTCGAGTATACCTACATTTCCAAGTGATGTTTCATTTGGCTTCAAAAATAAGATTGATTATTGAGTGAAACATTGCACTACCATGTGTGGGGTTATATACTCATTCTGACTGTTACAAGCCCAATAAAATAAAAAAAAGGCTTACAGAAAAGTATGTATCTTATCACTTGACCATGTTACCAGTACGGCTCAAACACATGCGGGGCTTAAGGCCAAAATTTAATACGAGACCTAAATTTTTAGAATGAAGTTATAAGATATATTGTTATCTGAAATCTAATCTTCTGGCTTTTTGAGATATAAAGTTGTTAATGATCTTTTTTATAATCAACTTTTTCTAATAATTCTTTTTCAATCGATATTATAGACAACTCATTTAGTCTTTCTTCAGGTATTGTTGATTTTAGATA